CATCTATGCGTGTAAGTGATACCCGCTGGGCTCGTTGGTAGTGCGCCGTCCGGTTGGGACAGCAGGTCCAGTAAGTCCAGAAGCACTACTGGTGTTTCGACTAGCATTTCCAACAGAAGTGGAAACTAGGCCTTGGTTGGCCAATTGGGTGCGACCAATGACAATATGCAGGTGTGCACCTGTTGAAGTTTTCTCCGGTGCCCGGTGAACTAGCGGGAAGGGAGGAAAGGCGTACACATCTATGTGGGTCCACGGGGTCAGCAAAGCGACCTTGGCCCAGGCTCCTGGAGTCAGCAGGAGTGTTATGTACGTCGAGAGCTTGGCGTTCCGGGGTGCGACAAACATGTCTATCTTTGGATCGTCCCACAGCCGAAACAGCCTGGGGTATCAGCCACTCTGTGTTCTGGAGACGAAGTCGCCCTGAAAAGGTGTCTGCCAGACTGTTCCTCACCCCTAGAAGGTGGTATGCGGTTAGCTCCACATTGTATTCCAGGCACCAAAGGAGAATTTGCTTCGCTAGGACTGACAACAATGGCGAACGCGTTCCCCCCTCCTTGTTGGGGCAAGACCACCGCTGTGTTGCCTGTGCGGAGCAGAACTCTGTAGTCTCTAACTACAGGTAGAAAGTGTGGTAGTGCTAAGTGCACTGCTTTCAGTTCGTGCCGGTTGATATGGCGGTCCCGAAACTAATGGGGAGGCCATATACCTTGGGCTTTTTCGTCCAATAGATGCGCTCCCCAACCTTGGAGGGAGGCATTTATTACCAGAGTCATAGCTTGGGCGAGTGGGTCCAAGGGGACCCCCTGTTCGAGGTTGGCCAGTGGCAACCACCAGGGCAGGGGTTCCTTCGCTTGGTCCGAGATCAATACCTGCCTACCTAGTTCCCGTAGGAGAGCTTGGTGTTGCAGCAATAAGCGTTGTACCGGGCGGCTGCCTAATGCGGCCTGGGGAACTGCCCTTCAAACCGAGGTCATCATTCCGATGATTTGCATTAGTTCTCGGAGGGACAATAAGGGAGCACTGACTAGGCGTTCGACTAGGCTGCTTAGCGCCAAGCAACATGCTTGAAATAGCTATACCAAGCCTACCTTTGTGTCAAACTCCATGCCCAGGAACATCAACTGTTGCGTTGGGTGGGGATGGGACTTGTATGATTTACTAAAAAGCCCAACTCGAATGCGAGCAATGCTTGCCGACCGAGGGGGCGTAGTGGAGACAGCTCACTTCGACTGCATCTGATCTACCCGGCCTGCCAGGGGACGCAATTTGCCCCGACAGTCCTTTGACCAAAGCCCTTGGAGGCAAATTCGGTGCCATGCAAGGACGGATCCACAAAAGGACCCACAACGGGCCACATAGGAGGAAAGATCTCCAGGGGCACAGCCTCGCTGTAGCCGGTAAAATCGGGTAAACCACCGCCTGAAAACACAGACTGTGAGGATGCCCTCCGATCAGCTGGGGGGAGACCGAAAAATATCGGTACCTCCACCATCGGGCCTTCTACTCGACGTCTGAGTACACGAAGTAACGGTAGCCGAGCGTGAGGACTTTATACTCATGCCAATACGCAACTCACTTTAACCAATTTTTACTGAACACGCTTGCTGTGAAAATATGCGGTCAGTCTCAGTGATTTTGCATGGCTCTGAAAAACCATCCCAGGCTCAGAACTCCAGTGAAAAACACATGCCTTCAAGGCAAAAACCCTGAACCCTGCACGCAGCCACGGCAAAAATAGCATTTTGGATGCGGGTTCTATGCTGCTAAATTCTGATTATACCACTGCACAGTCGTCTCAAAAAACGAAGAGACAAAACAGCAGCGAGCCTCTGGTGCTGTCATTACATCTATCCATTTCTAAATACATTGATTAAGCATAAAATGAACACGACATGCATGAGGGAAGCGAAATACAGTTGGAAAAGATGACGCAACGAAACCATAGTTCAGCGATTAAGTTACGTCGCCAGGTTTTATTTACCTTATTGTGAAAAATGCTATGCACAAAGAGGAAATCGACTTGAGGGTAAAAAGACAAGGAAAACTTATCCTACCAGCTACAATGTCGGTTACCGCGGCCACGGTAACAACCCAAGCCAGAAACCCGAACAGGAAAAAGTAGGCTACGCAGCCAGTCGTAATGGCACTGCCATATGGCCTCGGTCACGTGGTTCATGACGTAAGAAAAAAGAATCTTGGTGTCATGGGGCTTCCCCTGACCTAGATTCTATCTCTCCGTCATTGGCAGAATCGCTGATTAATGCTTACAGTTCAAAATAGTCATTTTGACTGACCGGAGTCTACGGTCATTTGCAATTTAGTTTCATCATATGTGTTAAATATAATGTAGAAAGTGCCAATGTGGCGTCAATATTTATGAATGCATTCACTAATTGTTAATGTGATTAAGCACGAAAAATTTGAATATTGGAACAAGTGCAAATACAATTAACATTAAATTCTATTTGGTGCTAGATATATATAATATTATCGATATGTAATAAATTATTTTGTTATAGATGTATCATATATTATTATACATCTGTCATTGTTACCCCACAAGTTACAGCGTGCCGTAATTTTGCAGTATTTTACGGGGTATTTTCATTCTACCATATAAGGAAATGCAAATTCCAAATATGAAATGATTATGTGCGTAAGCGTCCTCTAATAAAAAAAAAAACATGGCTGATTGCTGATTCTGCTCTACACTCTTTGATTTTGGAAGCAAAAGATGTATAATAATAAGGTTATTATGATGATGCCTCAAAGTATGCACTCAGACAGTACGCCGTTGAATTGACCTCCACTGCGCATCAGTCGATAGTCCAGCTGTACTGTCTTCATGCATACTTTGACATATCCTTGTAATAACTTCATATTATCATGTTTAAATTGATTAAATATCATTTTTGCCATTTCAGGGACTGTAACTGTACCATTATTCTTGATTGATGAATATGCTATGTTCAGTACCTATATTAATTGATCAGACTGTTTACAG